AATAACCACATTATTTCCTCAGCAAAATTTCCCTGATTAAATTATAGTCACTTTATTATTATTTTTTTTTTACTATTTACTTTTTGCTCTCATTTAAACCTATTTCCTTTTGTCCTTTGTGATATGGAAGCATAGAGAGCCATATTACTCTATATATTTAACTTTCATATATTCTTTTTTTTTTTTTTAAGGATGACTGGTAAGGGGATCCTAACCCTTGACTTGGTGTTGTCAGCACCTCCCTCTCCAAGTGAGTTAACCGGCCATCCCTATATAGGGATCCGAACTTGTGGCCTTGGTGTTATCAGCACCACACTCTCCCAAGTGAGCCACGGGCCAGCCCCTTAACTTTCATATATTCTAAAGCACTTCATGGTAGTTGACTGTATATTGCCTTCTCTAAACAATAAAAGCAATTTTTTAATGCTTCAAGCATATCATTATTCTGCTTTGGTCTCTGTAAATAGGGATACTTCCGGCCCAATTCATTTGTATTGGCTTTATGCTAATACACAAAACAATAAAATAAATACAATAAAATAAAAATCGAAAGTGGCAATGATTAAAAGTTTCCTTTAACTTACTGTTAATGCTGTTTCATATTCTCCAGCAGCCAACTGTGCTAAGCCCAAATAATAGGAAGCTTCTCCTTCCATTTTTTTGTCATTTCCTAGAGTAAAGAAGTAAAAAAATTACCATGGCATTAAAGAAATTGATTTATCACAGCAAACAGAATCCTTGCTTTTTAAGACAGCAGAAAGTTACTACGAAAAAAAGAAAAGATACATAGATTTATCAGTAATCCCTAAACCTAGCTATGCAATGAAAAAAAAGCTAAGGTAAGTACAATTTACCTGAATCACAGATGTTAGAGTAAGGTGCATTAACAATGTAATTATGAGGTGTTTCCCTCTATATACACAACCTGGTATCATCATTTTGACATTCATATGTAATTTTTATACTAGTCAGCCATGTAAAGACCTACAATCGTCTAGCATAACTGCTACTACATAAGTGAAACAACTGGTAAACTGGAAAACAACCGTGCAACTTAATTGGTGCACAAACACTCATACTGACTCACATGGACTGACATTCAGCTAAGTTTCTAACAGGGCAGATAATTAACAAATTAAGGAATTATTGTTTTGATTATTCTCAATTTAAAAGCTATTGACTAAAACTTGGGTGAGAATGGCTAATGAAGCTAGGCTTCTTAGTACAAAATTCCATGCATATTTTGAAATCAAAACACACTTTCTTTGCTAATCACTGGTAATGCTTTCATCATCTTTTTGCATGGAATTTAGCCTTTCTAATTTCTGTGATATTCTATTCATTTTATCCAATGTTACCTAACTTCTGGGTAATGCAAGTGCTGACAGATCTACCTGTGTTTCTGGTCTTTGGAAAGTTAGTATCCTTAGATTTCTAAGCCCTGCATTCCACCTATGAAAGACTTCAGTAGAAGGCAGCAATTCTCCACGCTGCATTCACTCTCACCACCCACTGAATTACCACTCATGAAGCAGTGGCTCATTGGAAGACTTTAAGAAAACAGGATGGCAAATGGCTGTGACATTACTTTTTATTTCTTCTTCAGCTCTTCACAGATTGCAGAAAATTATACCCTCAAGATCTCACTTTAGCATAGTTATTGATGCCAGTGACTGTGACCCAATCTGGGGAATTTTAACTCTTATAATTCACCTGGGCACTACTTTTGTTCTGCTGCTGGTTTAGGGGTGATGGGCATAGGGGTAGGACTAGGGAAGAGAAAGATGCAATAGAAGGAAGAGGTTGTGACAGGAAGTTACCTCTTGGATAATTAAAAGTTAATTGAGTGTGGTTTGTACTTGCTGTGTTAAATGATGTAACTGTGTTAATGCTCTGGCAACTGCCTGGGCTGATATAGTATCACCATTTTCATCTAATTTATGGGAGGGGTAGCTTAGCAAAGAGGAAGAAAGAAAAATCTACTCCTGGCTGATAGAAAGACAGATTTTGAGGCAGTTAGTTGAAGCAGTAATAATACATCCAATGTTAGTTTTAAAATAGTATCTAAACGTGAGAACTTTCCCTGTTTATTAAGTGAGACAAAGCTAAGATGAAGTGAAAACAGTAAATGACAGAGGTAAATATCAAAAAGAGTAGGATTAACAAACAAAAAAAAAAGGTTAAATCTGAAATCTTGGCACTATTAAAATTTAGTGACACATGTACCAAAACTTGTATTGTGTAGGATAAAAACATAAAGAGTTTTTAAAAAACCCAACAACAATAAATATAATAAATTATGTGGTAAGTTGTATGGTGATAGGTACTCTGGCGGAAAGACAGAGCAGGATAAGGGGCGTTGGAAGTGCTAAGTGGGGCTACAGAGGACAAAGAAGTTTTCAATATTAAATACGGTTTTCAAGGTAGACTCCATTGAGAAGATGGTATTCACAATAAATTGAAATTAGAAATACATAACAGAAAGAATTTTAGGAAACTCATAACTGTGGAAACTCAACATACTCCTAAATAACCAATGGATCAAAGAAGAAATCACAAGGTAAAATGATTACTTTGTGAAAGTAGAAAATACTTTGAAACGAATGAAAATGGAAATAGAACAATCCAAAACTTACAGGATGCAGCTAAAGCAGTGCATAGAGGGACATTTATAGCTATAAACTATATATTTTAAAATGAGAAAGATCTTTTCACCTTACAAAACTAGAAAAAGAGAATCCAACTAACCCAGAGCAAATAGAAGGAAGAAAATAATGAAGACTAGAGTGAAAAAAAATGAAACAGAATAGAAAAGCACTAGAGAAAACTGACAAAACAAAAATTGATTCATTCACAAGGTCAATAAAATTAACAAACCTTTAGCTAGACTGACTAAGGAATAAAAATAGGAGAGCCTCAAATTATCAAAATTAGGAATGAAAGAAAGGAAATAACTTAAACTTTATGGAAATAAAAATAATTATAAGGGAATGTTATGGACAAATGTATACCAAGAAGTTAGATAAACTGGATGAAATGAACAAATTCTTAGAAAGGCACAAATGAGTGAAATTGACTCAAGAATAAAGAAAATCTGAATATATCCATACTAAGTACTTAGAAATCAAATGTAATATATCATGTTAATAGAAGGAAAGACAAAAAACACATGATCATCTAAATAGATGCAGAAAAAGCATTTGGCAAAATCCAATCCCTTTTCATGCTAAAAACCCTCAAAAAACTTGGAATAGAAAGGAATTTTCTCAGTCTATTAAAAGGTATCTACAAAAAACCCACAGCTAACATTACACTTAATGGTGAAAGATTGATAACCTTCACCCTAAGATCAGGAATAAGACAAGGATGTCCCCTAGCACCACTTCCATTCAACACTGTGTTATGCTGGAGGTCCTAGTCAAATAAATTAGGCAAGAAAAGGGAAAGACATCCAGATTAGCAAGGAAGAAGCAGAACTATACTTGCAGATGACATGATCTTGTATTTAGAGAATCCTAACGAGTCCACAGAAACTATCAAAGCAAATAAATGAGTTTAGCAAGGTTTCAAGATACAAGATCAATATACAAAAGTCAATTTTATTTCTACATATAGGCAATTAACAATTTGAAAATGAAATTAAGAAACAATTCCATTTACAATAACATCAGAAAGAATAAAGTATTAGGAGTAAATTTAACAAAATAAGGCAAGATGTGTACATTAAAATGATAAAACATTAATGAAAGAAATTTTAAAATATGTAAATAAATGGGCAAATACCCCATATTTATGAATTGGAAGACCTAGTGTTAATATGGGAATATTTCCCAAATTGATTGACAGATTCAATGCAATCCCTATCAAAATTCTACCAGCCCTTTCTGAAGAAATTGACAAGCTGATCCTAAAATTCATGTGGAAATGCAAGTGATGAGAATAGTCAAAGCAATCTCGATAAAGAACGGGGTTGGAAGACTGACTTTTCCTAATTTCAAAACTTAACTATAAAACCAGAGTAACAAAGATTATGTATTTCTGCAATAAGAATAGACATATAGATCAATGAAATAGAATTTAGAATCCAAAAAACAATCTTTATGTTTAAGGTCAATTGATTTTGAGAAGGGTATCCAAACAATTTATTGGGGAAAGGGTAATGTTTTCAACAAATGCTACCAAGACAAGATCTTCCAGTCTGGACAAGATAAACACATTCCATCCATCCTATTCCTTTCACTATTTGCAAAATAAACAAACCAAGTAACCCTGGACAAAATTCATAAAACAAATAAATGAAGAGAAAGAAGAAAAGAAAGTAGACTGGTTAGGGACCTCAGGATTTGAAGAATGAACCAGCTGTGAGTCTCCTAGGCTTTGTTTTATTTTGTTTTGATTTTTTGCCTCCTATGTTTCTCAGCCTGGGCTGTGGAGAGAAACACAACTGGAAACATCAACAATCACACACACCCACACACACACACACACACACACACACCTGAAAATAGATCACGGATCTAAATACAGCTAAAACTGTAAAACTCTTAGAATCAAGTGTAGGAGTAAATCATTGTGACCTTGGACTAGTCAAGGCCTTCTTAGTCACAACAGTAAAAGCACAAATAACAAAAAGAAAAAAAAATAGATAAATTGGCCTTCATCAAAATTAAAAACTTGTGCTTCAATGGATACCATCAGAAAGTGAAAAGAAAACCCATAGAATGGGAGAAAATATTTTCGAATCATGTATCTAATGGAAGACTTGTATCTAGAATATATATAGAATTCTTAAAACACAGTAAGACCATCAGAAAGTGAAAAGAAAACCCATAGAATGGGAGAAAATATTTTCGAATCATGTATCTAGTGGAAGACTTGTATCTAGAATATATATAGAATTCTTAAAACACAGTAAGGAAATGACAACTTAATTAAAAAGGGGCAAAGAATCTAAATAGACATTTCTGCAAAGAAGATACATAAACAGCCAGCAAGCACATGAAAAAATGCTTAACATCATTAGCCAGCAGGGAAGCGCAAATCAAATCCACACAGTGAGATTTTTTTTTACCATTTTGCACTTACCAGGGTGACTATAATCAAATAGACAGAAGTAACAAGTGCTGGTAAGGAAGTGGCTAAATTGAAACCCTCATACATTGCTGGTGGAAATGTCAATTAGTGCAGCCATTTGGAAAACTTGCGTTCCTCAATAAGTTAAGCATAGAGTTATCATATAATCCAACAAGTGCACTCCAGGTATATATCCAAGACCATTGAAAATTTGCACAGAAATGTTCACTGCAGCATTATTTATTATAGGCAAAAGGTGGAACCAACTCAAATGTCCCTCATTTGACAAATGGATAAAGAAAATGTGATATAACCACACAAAGGAACATTATTTGGCCATAAAAAGGAATAAAGTCATGATACATGCTGCAAGATGGATGAACCCTGAATGCATTATACTAAGCGAAAGATGTTCGGCTGGCACTACACTTGTGCATTACACCAAGGTGCCCTAACAAAGGAGTTGGCCTACGGTGGGTTTCAGTACCCCTTAAATACTATGTAAATCAAGGTGGGAGGCATGCCTTATCAAAGCAATCATCAGCTTGCTGCTCCAGGCTCCTTGATCAAAGTAGGAGACAGTGGGAGTGGATGCTTTGTCCCGAAGTATTTTGGCTGCTGTAAGAGCTCTGTAAAATATTGTGTAATCCTTTGACCTCTGAACTTTCTTACATGGAAAGTGTGCAGACAAATATTTATTGGTTTTAAAAGATACTAAAAATTATTACAGCATAATAATGAAGTAAGTTTTTTCCTATTTCCCTTATCTGTCCTTTGGAAAGCAAGAGATGTTTTATGAAGCGAGACTGCTCCGCAGGCTCTGGTTGTTGAAAGAGACCCAAAACCCTTCCTTTCTTTGTGAACTATTTTACAATTTAGCAAATGTGAACCTAAAGTAAAATACCTTTTTCTAATTGATGCATTCCTCCACATTGAAATTCTATGTAACTTTCCACGTGGCTAAAGTTTGCTGCTGAAATTATCTAAGAGCTAACTACTTATGCAAGCGTTTATACCTTTAGGGAAGGTACTAGATCACCATTTATTCAAAAGCAGATCATTTAATGGGATCCATCTTTCAATGGGGTGATTTCCTAATAACTAATATTGTTAAAAGATGTAACAGAGAGAATAAGCTAGGATGTTTACTTTTGCTCTTTGTAAGTTAAAATCACACCCAGAAAATCAGTTCTGCTCATTCCAAATAAGCCACCTGTTACTTAAGCCAATTAATTAAATATATCCATGAACTAATAAACTTTAGATCTAGAGCATAACTTCCATCTTTTTCTCCTTCGTGAAAAGGCTACTCTTTTAAGAAATTATTATATGATAATAAAATATCCTCGCATTTTACAAATTAAAAGCTTATAAAATATGCTCCACAGTTTTTCTTTATATTTTATACATACATAAATGATACAGAATATTAAAGATATGATTTTCTTTCACAATAGAGTTTTTACAAAGGCCAAAAAAAAAAAAAGCATTTACAAAAGCCGTATGTGTGCATACGAATCACCCGGGGATCTTGCTAACCTGCAGATTCTGATACAGTAGGGCTGTGGTGGGGCCTGGCATGCTGCTTTTATAACTTGTTTTCTGGTGATGCTGATGCTGATGCTGCCATTCCAAAAGATATTTTGCGAGCAAAGGCTCTAGATTAGAGTCCTATTTTCCTGTTACTCCTAACTAAATATTTACCATATTTCCCCATTACCTGACAACAGGGAATTTACAAACAGTGAAAGGTCTCTAAGATTGCAAGAAATATATAACCTTAAACACAGCATACACACCGCCTCAACTTTTGCAGGTAACCTTACCTTCTCATTCTGGGTTCCCTGTTTTACACCACTATCTCGAGTGGATTGTAATTTTGGTGATAAAGCTTTCAAGAAACTAATGGATTTCTTGTTGTCAGCACTAAGGCATCTCTATTGCACAGTGAAAGTATATTGATGGCATTTGTCTTTGCATTTCATAATCACCCTAACACTTGATGATCTTTACTTTACTCCTGGGAGAACCAGTGTCTGCCCATTAAAGAAGCAATGTGAGAATGTTCTTTTCCACCCACCTTCTTTAGCTATTTCAGAAGCTTTTATTAGAATTTTGATGGCCTGTTTGTATTCTTTATTTTCCAGCATTTTGTCTGAGAGTAATCTGTAAGTCCTCAGGAGACTCTCACAGGCCAACAAGTTGAGAAAGCGGCCTGTCTCATCCTTCCAAATCCGCCCCTGCGTCAATTGATGGAATGCTTCATAATGCTCAGCGGCTTCCAGAAGCTGACCTGAAGGATAAAAACCATTCATGAATATAAACCACAGGCTAGAACGTATTTTCAAAACTTTTGCATACATGTTAGCTTTGCTATTAAAGAGGGAAACACCATGGAATACAGTGAAGGATTTCTAAGGTTGAAGAGGAGTTAAATTGGGAAAAGAGTTATATCTAATTGACCATCAGATTCAGCATGAATTTTGAATAGACACCTGCCAGAGGGATGTACTTCAGCTAGTAGAAATTGACTGGGATCACGTATGTTTAGAGACAGTGTGAAATGCAATAATAATTAATACCAAATCATATTAGCTAAACTTTATTTAACACTATGTGTGCAAAGCACTGTGCTATGTGCTTTATATGCATTTCTCATTTAATGCTGAAAACAATTTTTTGGAGTGGAACTGTTATGATTCCATTTACAGAAGAGAAAGCTGAGGTTTAGTGAGGTTAACAATTTTGCCCAAGACTGCATGTCTGGTGGGTGATAGATCCAGGAAGTCTGATCCAGAGCTCATGCTCCCAATTATTATCCCGCACTGCTTTCCCAACAGACTGGCAATTTCTTCATTCATAAGAAAAATTCAGGTATCTTGAGAAAGGATGCATCTGTTACAAATCTCAAATTAAAATATTATGAATCTTGGGCCGGCCCGGTGGCGCACTGCTACAGTGCGCCGCTTGTGAGCGCGGCGGCGCT